ACCAGGGAGGGCCTCTACTAATTTTTTAAGAAAGGTAAATAGGATATAAATGCTTGAGACCTTGAGTATCTTAAAGTGCTTTTTCTTTCTAAGATTATATTTGATTTATAGATTTGAAGTTTTATTTTCCCTTTAGAATTTGATAACTTGACTGTAGTTTATTCTAGTTTCCAGTTTTGCTGTGGAAATTTCAAAACTATATTTATTTTTATTTTTATTTTTAAAGATTTATTTATTTATGCACACAGAAGTGGGGTACAGGCCAGAGGTGCAGGGGCAGTAAGAGGATTCACCAGAGACAGAGTGGGGAGCAGAACAGGCCGACTAAGTACCCTGCTGAGGGGAGCAGCAGGTGGCGGGTCAGGAGAGGTCTGCCATGCCATGTGGATCACCTCTGGAAATGGGATCGAACTCATGCTGAAGTCGCTTTAGCTTCTTAGTACTGTTCTTTAACCTGCTACACTACTAGGGAGGGGCCAGCCATATTTATTTTTAATCTCTTTTTCTCACATATATAATATTTTAGGATATCCCTTGTCTTCATTGTTATGACTTTACAGTAACATATTGGAGAGGGTCTATTTTTATATTCTGTGGGTCTTGTCGAGCTAGAAAATCAATACTTTTTATTTACGGTAATTAGCACAAATTATGAGCTTGATGATTTTCTCATGTCTCTGTTTCTATAGCTATTATCTAGATGTTGAATTTCCAGGATTCTATGATGTACTTGACTTTTCTTTCCTGTATGCTGTCCTACATTGTAGAAGACTTTCCAATCTTTAGCTCTCAACTCACTGCCTGTTTATTTCTACAGTTATATTTTTAGAGTTTCCTATTTGTTACTCTCTTTTTTACAAAAACATGTTCTTGTGCCATTAATGCAAAATATGTGTTAGAAAGCTGAGTGTTAACTATAATTTAAATGTTTCTATTTCCTTTAATAGAAGAGCTTTATCTTCTTATATTCATTTTTTTCTCAACCTTTGATGTGGCAGGCTTTCTGTAGATACATAAGGACCCTAAAATAGTGGCTCACTCAGTAGAAAATGGAGCATTATGAAAGACATGTGAAAGCTCTGTGCATATTGGTAATCTTGTCACCATTGGGCCTCATTGTTGGATAATATAGATTTATTTCACTGATACACTTCCTAAATCCTTATCTTTTATTACTGATTTGGTAACATTTCTAAATAAAATAGTTATAAACCAGTCTACTTTAGTTTTCAAAACCATGTAGCAGATGAGCAAGAAATCAGTATCCATTGACAGGATTCATGCATGTTTGCAATATAATGATACCCTGTTTTTTATGCTTACCTTGCAGCCATTCCTCATCTGATGGTTAAAAGAAGCAATCTCAGTGACATTCCTATTAAATTTACTCTTTCTGTCTTCTGAAGGGGTGGGGAAGAACAGATTTTAGCTATGGGAACTGGGGAAGTGTAACTTAACTTTTCACTCCTTCCAAAATGTGTAAGCCTCCTGTTTGCCATCCTCCTTTTAATTTCATTTCTGAAAATAACTTTTATCACTACTCTGATAAGTTTTGGGGATGGAATGGTTAAAAGCATCTTTTATAATAGGTAAAATGGTGTTTCTTCCTGACTTCTCCTCCACCTTTATGTTAGGAATCATTGTTTGTGGCCTTGATAAGTCAGTTACTGCTTCTCTTTTCAGTTTAGGAGACTTGTATTGCTGTTGTCTCTCCTTGATCTCATTTATATTATAGTCTCATTTTTTAGCCCCTTTCCTGTAATTTAATGAGATTTTATATTTGAACTACCTTGTAACCTACCCATTTCAAGAAAATTTTACTAGTCTTATCAATAAAAATACTTTATATCAACATTTGATAGATACATAGGAATCTATGTTAGAGATCTAACTATTCCTCTTCTGTTGTAAAGATAGGACAACTGTTATGAACAGTGATACAAAGAACACTCTTCTGGCTATTTTTTAAGCTCTTAAATTTATATCATTTTAAAATATGAAAAATTATGAATTCTTTCTTAAAATGTTATTTTTTTATTTATTCATACAGAACTGGGGTACAGGCCAGAGATGCGGAGGGTGAGAGGATTCACCAGAGACAGAGTGGGGTGTAGAACAGGCAGATCAACGAAGTACACTGCTGAGGGGAGCAGCAGGCGGGTCAGGAGAGGTCTACTGTGCCATGTGGATCTCCTCCAGGGCAGGCAGGGATCAAACCCGCTCTACCACCAGGGAGGGCCCAAAGTGTTTTTTTTAATGGTATATTATATCTGATATTATAAGGTGTGTTTCCTTTCTGATGAAGACCATGTAGCATAAACATTCCATTGTATAGCTTTTTCTAAAGTTATATAGTAAAGTTTTATATATATATTGTTCAGCCTGCTTAGTCAGCTGTGCCTCAAATAAGGTAGGCATCTGACACATATTTGCTGAGCGTGATAAGACATAAGCATGATAATGAGTTCTTACTCCTTTTTTTTCTTTCTTTTTTGGAAACCTAAAGCATAAGAGATCTACTATGGAAAAAAAAAAAGCAGAATATAATACATTTTAAATATCTTGTGTTTCTTATTTATTTTAAATATTTATACATATAAGAACTGTGGTGTAGGCTAGAGATAATGGGAGATGGGGAAGTGAGAAGATTCAGAAGAGACAGAGCAGAACAGGCAGATCTACTGAAATGCACTGCTGAGAGGAACACAGGTTGAGATGGGAGAGATCTGCTGTGCCATGTGGCTCACATCCCTGGCTGGGAAACAAATGCAGGCCATAGTGGTGATAGTGCTGAGACTTAACCTCTGCCACCAAGGAAGCCATTGAATATCTTATATTTAATTGCTTTGAGATAAGTTGGGCAACAAAGGTCTATAGCCTCCAATAACATATTTTCCTGGTTTCATTATACACTGTTATGTTTAAAGTTGCTGATTCCAAGAATCTATAACTACATTAAGCAAGGACCGACTGTGTAAGGAGCTGTTTGACTAAGTTAGATGTACCCATTAGTATAAGCTTGAAAAACAAACAAAATATTAGTTAATAATTAAGGAGAAATTCTGACAAATTGATTAACATATTTTTTCAATTATTACTTTATGAAGATTCCACTAATTAGCTAAAATTCAGAAAGTCATCTTTTTCTGAACTTTTCTTTCTCTGATGTAACTATTACCTAGAGGACTTAATTTGTGGTTTAACAAATAATAAATGTACAGTGTATGGATTTATTGTTTATGTTGTACTTCTGACCTAAAATTTACAGTTTTTGTTGAAAGTCTTTAAAGTAATATTTTAATTGAAATTCAATTTAATTACAGAAAAGCAAGATGTATTGTGAGAAAAATTTTAAATCAAACGTTGCTAAGACTGACAATTTTTTAGTGATACAGCATGAATGAAAGTTCTTTCTACAATTTTGAAATATGATAGCTATCATATAATGTATATCCTTCTTGACTATCATTATTTTCCAAAGTGGTGGTGTAGAAGAGTCTCAGTTATATGTCCCCCAATGTTAAGAAACAGTGTCTTATAAATTAAAAGATGAAAAATAAATTCTAAAATTATTAACTCATTTTTTTAACTATGTAAATGCACATGCTAGACTTTGTCATGAGGAAAGTGCTTATAGTTGTCTCCATTTTGAAAAATAAGAAAATGAGTCATGATGAGAATATAAAGTTACTGAGGATAAACTAACTGGTAAATAATGAAGTCTAATTTTGAACCTGGAAAATCTTTTTGTAGTGATCATATACTGTAGTGTCCTCCAGCAGTTACAGTGGTTACGGGTATAGAACCATCTTTAATGTTATACATAGAACTTGTGCATGTAAAAGCTGGTAGGAAAGGTGTGTCCTTTGAAAAACATCTCAGTGATAAGATTTAAAAGTTTTTCATCTTCCTCCACAATTTTTCAGATTAAATATGTTTAATAATTTCTCCACAAAATATGTTATAGCAAAGTAAATAAAATTCTCAAATAAGACTGATGGAAAGGGAATGTTAGTGGTCAGACAACCAGGGCTTAAATGCTGGTCTTTGCTTTATTAGCTGGGCACAGATTAAACTTTGACTCTTAATTTTCTCATCTCACCTCAGTAGCTCCTTGCACTCATATAAATAGAGCTATTATAATTTAATTTTAAAATCTATCCTGAAAAACTATGATATTTTTGATAATACACACACACACATGCACACATATATGTATAAAGTATACATTTTAGTATCAAGCACATTGAAATTTTCTAACTAAATCTTTAAATGTCATGAATAGTTAATATTTTGCTTAACACCTCATTGTTTCAACAAAAGACTTTGGGCTATCCCACAGGTACTTAAATGCTTCCTCTTCTTTTCAGCAAACTTTCTTGATAACATGCTTTTGCGCAGTTCGGGAAAATTAAATGTGGGCACCAAGAAAGAGGATGGTGAGAGCACAGCCCCGACCCCTCGTCCAAAGATCTTGCACTGCAAATGCCACCACCACTGTCCAGAAGACTCAGTCAACAATATCTGCAGGTTGGTCATATAAGTTATGTAAACCTGGTTTTAACAAAATCTTAATTTTTCAATTTTAGAATGGTAGGCTGTTGTTTTCAAGAATACATTTTCATGTTTTCTGGAATAGCACTCAACTACATTGATTCTCTGTTTTCACAGTTAATTTTTTATCTGTTTTAAGCTAAATACTGAATTGCATTTTTTTTTAAATGATGTTCTGAGCTTCTTTTCTTCCACTAATCAACACACATGCACATGAACTTAGCACACAAGGCCCAGGCTTCTTGTCAAGGAATCAAAACCTTTATTTTCTTTCAAAAGATTGATTCTAGAAATAAAATAAGATGTGTAGGTGTTTTCTCTTAAACAATCACTGTGCTGATGGTGTTAGAATTTGGAAGGAACACTGAAGTTGTAGAAATATTTGTAAACTGACTCTGGGTAACAGTTTATTAACAGATCTCTTATGAGTACTAGAGCATAAACTACTAGTAAATATTCATATTTGCATAAGTAGTCTCCAAAATTTGAGCCTACTCTATTTGCCTCTCTCTTCCATATACTTCTTTATGCAACTACATTTTTTTTTTCTGGCCACAATGACTGTATTTAGCCCTTAATGAAGATAGCAAGGAACAGAGGCAAGCCTAATAATTGTGGTTGGGAGAAGAGTTTAACCATGCAAGTGAGGATTTCTGGAGCTAAAATGTGAGATAAATGCTATATGTCCATTTTACCCTAGTAATATTAATAATAAGAAGAATGAAGCAAAGTCTATCTCCAGAAAGGATAATGAACCAGAATAGGGTGATAGACTCTGCTAGGTTTGTAATGCAGGCAAAATATCTGGGCAGCTGTGTAGGGCCTCGTTATTTAGGAAGGAGCATGAAACTAAATTGAATTTTTTTTTCTTCCTAAGGCCTTTGTTTAAATTTCCTATGAAGTGAAATCAAATATATAAGCTTATCTGTGTATGTTGTGTGTATGTCTACCTCAAAACATGTAACTGAATAACATAAAGAAGACTATTTGGTGCTGTCATAAATAATATCTCATTTACTTGGCAGAAAAGCTCAGCATGATAGGGAGTGTTTATTCTTACCATTGGGCATAGAAATTAGAACCCAGAGGTCTAGAAGTGTGGTTCTTGTCCAATAGAAAAATAGATGGGATCACTGAGTCTTGAGCCAATGATTCCAAAGCTCAGTGTTTCCTGGAAAATATTACCTCTTTAGAATCACCAGAAATAATACCAGGAAAATCACAAAACTTTCAGAAGAAAAGAAAATTAGTAGGTAGAAAAAAATTAGGTGGAAATTTTACTATTTTTGGCTGAATTTTTAGCAACGGAGAAAAAACCTATGTGTATTATTTGAACTGTAATCCAGTCCTCATATGTCTAGGCTTTCCACAGTGATCCAAATTTAAGTATTGTGTCACTTTTTTTCAATATAGACCACTGAAGTATCAAGTCTATTTGGGAGAAATTGTTAAGGCAACAGTAACTACAAAGCAAATTATCTGCAATAGAAAAGAGCTTTTTGTATCTCCAAAGACAAATGGTTCCCCTGAAATACAGGGAGGAAGAGATACGGTAGGGGGTGATCCTGGAGACAGGAAACTATTGTTGGCCTGGTGGGCTTTAGTAAGACTACTGGTCTTGTTTCTGAGAGTGTCAGGAAGCCATAGATGGGATATTTTAGCCAGGGTGGCGAATGGAGATGAATGTGATGTAACTTGCTTTTCTCTGTGCTGCAGAGTATAAGACAGTAGAACAATGAATTCATGTGGAGCAAAAAAGTAAACTTATGAACTGTGTTCATGTAAGAGAAAATAGCTCGGTCTAGGGTGAAAAGTAAACTTATGAACTGTGTTCATGTTAGAGAAAGTAATCTCGGTCTAGGGTGGTGCTGGTGTCTCCAATGTACTGGAGAAATATTGAGAAGAAAAGATTGGTGTTGATGATTTGGATGTGAAAGGAACCTAGAAATCTTCACAAGGTCTGGATATAGATTTAGATGCAAAGTATGGCCTTTTATTGAAAAAAAAGAAAGAGATAAGAATGATGTGCCAATATTAGACAAGTAAAATTGAAGAGTTTACACATCGAGGTTGAATTATTAAAGATTAGGCAACACGTTATGGAACAGGAACACAGAGAAGAACTGAGGGAGAAAGCATAAAGAGAGTTAGACTATTAATCAATTTTTGTTGTGAAATAAATACCATCAAAATCATGGTGGCTTAGACAGAGACCTTAATTTTCTCATTCCTGGGCTATAAGTGAACTGCAGCTTTGCTGGATTTTTGCTGGATTGGATGTGATTGGCTTCCGACTGCTGCTTGAGTTCAGGCTTGCTCCACAGCTGTCCTTATTCTACTGGGGCTAGTATCTACCCCAGGCATCTTCTTTCCCATGAGAGAGCAACTTCATAAACCCTCTGCTAGTGTCATGCCTTCCAACATTCTGTTTACTGAATCAAGTGCCAGTCAAGCTCACAGGCAAGGGGAGACTTTGGCTCGGTGGGTCATCGAGAATTGACAATAATAACAGAAAACAGCAGAGCCCCAGAATAGGACATTTATTGCTTAATTGAAAGAGGACTCAGAATAAGCAGAAAGCTATGAGGATGGTAGCATTGAAGACAAGTTTACAGAGAAAAGGTATATGATTAACCATGTCAGAGGCTGTTAGAGGTCAAAGAGGAAAAGATCTAAAGCAGATTTATTGACTTTTCTAGCTATAGTTTAAAAGTATTTAATGCGAACATAGAGACAGAATTGAGATTAAAACAGCATATGAATTACATGATTGCAAACCTTTGGTTTATGGCAGCAAAGAAAAGGAACACAAATAAATAAAGCAGCAAAATAAGCAACAGCAATAACAATGGGACCCCTCCAAAGAACATGCATATACCATGCCAGTAAACATAACTCTCTTAATTTGTAAATGTCACTACAAAACTAATATTTACATGTTTACATTGACATATCTTGACTCACCACCACATTCCTCTTAAAATATATAGCATGTCTGTGTTTCTAGGCAAGGCATTGGAGGCCCTGAGAGGTTAAAAACTTTTTACTAGGTCATTGTTCATGTAAACAAACAAACAAAAAAAAATGTGGCCAGGATTCCAAATCTCTGAATTTGTAACCAGCAGTTAACCCTAATACTGGTCTCAAAGGAGGGAATATTAACTCTTGAATACAGAGCCCATCCATTTTGCCTTTGAGGTATTGACTACAGTTGGGTCTCCTATAAACTGCAGCCAATCATGTGTAAATCACGGGATTGCATTTATTTCTGTGCCCTAAAACCCAGATTAATCTAGGCCCTTCTGCCTCCATTCCTGTAAACACATTCTTCTACTCTTTAATCTCCAAATCAATCCATCACAATTTATATTTGTTGAAAGGCAGTTCTCTCCACCAATAAATTACACACTGATGTTTTTATGAAGTACAGTAAGAAATGAATTACTGGAAAAATAAATTTCATAAACTGTATGTTCTATTATGTCTAAGTTCTGTTAGGTTCAACAGAGCTACATTTATTGCTCTACATTTCAGTTTCTGTATTTGCCTTCTCATGGAACAGTAACAAATAGTATGTTCACTTGCAGGACAATACACTTTTTGAGTAATACAGCACTAAATCTTTTATTCTCTCTTGGGTAAAAAAGTTACTGAAAAAAAAAAAAAAGGTGATGTTACTTGAGCTTAGCTAAAGATTGTTCCAAACTGTCTAGCCTGAAGACTTTGATGAGGAAGATCTTAGCCAACATAGGTGTCTTAGGTTTACCCAGGTTTTCATGGTATGTATCATGCTCATTATAATTACCATTTTCCTGGAGATAATAAAATAAAAGGAGGTCAAAGTCAAGATTTTCATAAAAAGATCCTGAAATCTCACATGATAATTCATGGAAACTGTAGAAAGTCTGCTGCACCATATGGGTCAGCGTTCTGGCTGGGGATCAAACTTGTGCTACAGTGGCTGCCCATTGCCCAGTGCTGAAACTTAACCCCTTTGTGCCAACAGGAAGTCCAACCCAGTTTAGAGCATTTTTATACTCTTTACCATTATCATTAATCACTTTCCTTGCCAATAGGAAGATCAAAGTCATTCATGGCCTTGTTCCTATGAGATCAGTGCACATGCACCTGCTTTCCAAGACATCTATGCCATTTCTACTGCCTAATGGCGTGTATGTTACAGGAAATAGTGCAAATGTATCACGGCTAAATGCAGTGTTGGAGCTTTTATTACAAGTGTAATTCAGAATAAGGGAGTAGACCATTGTCCTATTTCCCTCAAGATAATATCTATCTTCTCAGTATTATCTCAGTTGATACTTTGCATTATTAATCCTTCCATTTCCATTTCCAGATTCTATTCTCAGAACCTCAGACCAGAAAGTCTCCTTGAAGTAATTATTTTTATATGACTTTCACATACCTATGTTCTGTCTTACTTTCCTGTCTGAGCAATTGTAATTTCAGCCTTGCTTATTTTCTTTTCCTCTATATAATCTTGTCTGGCTATACAGGCTCTTCCCTTTTTAGCTGGTTTGTTTGTAATGCCATTGCTTCTCAGGTTCATTACTTCCTCCAACTTAGCCTTTTCTAAATATTTTCTTTTTCTTTCAGGAATAATTTTGAATATTTCTTCATTTACATTATTGGGTTCTGTCCAAGAGTTCTCCTGACAGGGAAGGTTTTATACTTTAACAGTTATAAAATGTCAGGATGCACTATATTTGTGCAGTGAATATGCAAATGACAACTAAATGCGTAAGTAGGCAACAGATGGTCTCCACCTCCACCTGGAAGAGTCAAAAAGGGGAGAGAGAAACCTTAGGGCTGTGAACCTTTTCACAAAGGTTGTGCTAACCCAGGGCTTTTAAACTTCTTGCTGAACGAGATGTGAGTTTTGAGACAGGTGCTCCTGTTTCAGGGTCTCAGGGTGTTTAAAGGACACATCAATTTCTTTGTGTTATAGATTTTGTATCACATCCTGTTTATCCCACCATTCCCCAGGCTAATTGAGCATTATGATTTATGATCTCTCACTTTTTTTTTTTTAACCCCTTCAGAACAAGATGGAGAGTTCAGATCTTAGCACTTCTGAGAATGGTGGATTCTTGATTAGAACTTGCAATTTTATTGTAAGATACTGATTTCCTACGCACCTATGAAGCCTTTCATTAAAAAGGATACTCTCTTTTTATGCCTCTCCATCATGACTGAATGTTAACAGGCTGAATTTGCTATTAGACTGGATGGAAAATGAATGATAGAAACTTCTTGAAAATTATGCAAAGAGAATCACTGAAGATTCTTCAGTAGAGAATGAAAACGAGAGACTTATCACATAGTACTAGGCAGAATGGATCAGTTGAGAGAGGAGAGAAGTGTCTCCTGGTTGACTCTTGGGGCAGGCTAGCTGAAAAGCAAGGTGGGTCTGCGCAGGGTGGTAGGAGTGAGAATATACAAAGACTTTTTAATATAAAAGTTGAGACAAATTCAAGGAAATCCGGTACATCATAGAAAAAAAGGACAACACTAAGCCTTTTCTGTGGCTGCTAAAAGAAAATATATCGCACTTATGGGTCTTTGACTATAAAGTGAAAAGGCATTTCCCACATGAAAATTTATCATTTCTCTTATAATTTACCTTCCCCTGCAGTTCAGTGACATCTCGGAGGAAATGCCAGAAAAGGGGAGCGTAGTAGTAGATGTATTTTCTCCTCTTCCTTTCCACCTTTATAGGAATCCACCCAGCTAAGATGATTGCAGGGGCTTGGGGGGGGGGACCCTGGGGGGGTGGCACTCACATAGATTTTCAGGATTCTTTTATTTTGGTAACTAATACCGTTCAGCATTCTTTGCTTTTATTCCTAATTAGTAGAATAAATAACACTACTGTTTGAGGTGAATGTGTCTCTGCAAGGATCACAGTTATATATATAAGTATGCTCTCCTCAGAAGTAAACACAGAACCCCTGTGTTCTCGGTATCTAATTCCCTATACATAGTAAGCTCAATAAATATTAGTAAATAGAACTATTGTTAGTGAAGCTTTAAGAAGCTCCCAGTTATTTTAGTTACCTGACTAAAATCTACATAATTTAAACAGTGACTAACAGTTGTACATATCTTTGAATTTAACAGTAACAGACAAATCTACATGGTTATTCTTTGTATTGTTTAAATTTGTAATAGATAACTATTTTATTTATTGCTTTAAATGTTTACATGCTATAGATTTTCATAGCAATTGCACTAAATTGGGTAGAAGGCCCCAAACAATTCAGCATAGACTGTTCAGTACTAGTCTTTCTTCTACAACAATATCCATGCATTTGACCTAGGTCTAACGGAGATATTATATATATACGTACGCTCTCCTCAGAAGTAAACACAGAACCCCCTCGCCATTCATTAGTATGTTGAACTTTGCTGTGCTAATTTGTGTACTCTGAGTTATTTTGTATCACTTCAGGTTTATAAACCAAGCAAACTGTTCTAAAGGCATTGATGAGAACTGAAGTGCTGATATGTGGGAGGATGCTGCTACCACCAATACAGAAAATACAGACCCATGCTCAGAGCTTCCTTCTGACCTTGTCTTATCTGTCTGGGATGCTGAGTACACACATACATATAGAAAAGGAGGGAGATACACTTTAGTGCTTTATTGTTTATCACACGCATAGTGACTTGCAACTTACACTGAGAATCTTCTGCCATGAATCATCCAAACTCGTGAGACAGGAATGTCTGTTTATAAATAGATCTTGTTTTTCATTTTTAATACAAAGAAGATAGTGGAAAGTGTGTGGGCATGAATTGAGGTCTCCAATTCAAGGCCTGATACTATAGCTGTTTGTTTTATGACTTTGTATAATTTCATTACACTCTCAAAACTTTTCTCATCTATAAAATAGAAAAACTATTTTATTGTTATTGAGAAGATTAAATGAATAGAAGAGGTGAAGATTCTTTTGAATCTGGAAAACGATCTAGAAATTCAAGATGCTGTTTATTTGGTTTCAGTGGTCTTGTTGAAACCCCATCTTTCTGTTCCCATTTTTGCCTCACCCCCATCTTAAGCCCAGACAACTCACACAAAGCTGATGTTTTCATGTGTCAGGTCAGCCCAGAGTGGGTGCAGCAATGGCAGAATCTCGGCAGTCTCAATTCTGCTGGCCCATGTCCTGCCTGCTGTAGTTTGTATGCCTTGAAAAGAGGTAATTGTACTGCTTCAAAGTAAACCAGCGCAGATGTCCGCAAACACAGTGTGAGCCCCTTCTGCGTCTCTGCCTCAGTTGCCTTTGGGAGTTATGAGAACTCTTCAAAATCATATCCTTCAATAGTGAATGAAGGTAGTACCACCGTCTTCATAGAGTTGTTTTTCTGACTTGTAAAAAATGATAGCTTGTAAAGGACCGAAATAAGTTTAGAGTGACTCATTCACATAGGTGGTTATTAATGGTATATATTGTGTGGAAAGTTTGGGTCTTTGTTTCTTAAAAGTTTTTGGCAGGGGAGATATTACTAAAATATTTGTTTATTTAAATCAACTCATATAAAGAAATTTTCTTAACAGATTATAACCTAGAATGATCATTGACTTTTTCTTTATTTAAATTAAATAAATGGTAAATGTTTCATTTTCTTTTACCCTTCTCATACAATCTCACCCCCCCCCCACACACACACACAGTCTCATACTTGTGCACACACACACATACTTATTCAGTGTGTTTGGGTTTTAGCACAGATGGATATTGTTTCACAATGATAGAAGAAGATGACTCTGGGATGCCTGTGGTCACGTCTGGATGTCTAGGACTAGAAGGCTCTGATTTTCAGTGTCGGGTAAGGGAGATGCCATGATTCTACTTTGTGACCTTTTCTGGCTAGATTTTAAACAGTGAGGATTCAAGCAAGACAAAACAGTTCTTTTTCTTGACTATCCTGGTTTCAGTAATTTGGAAATAATTTGAAGAATCCTTATTGGGCCAATTCTCATTTTGAAATCAAATATAATTTGTTTTGGTTTTGTTAATTTCTCGCTTGTGGCTCACTAGATAGATCATCCTGCTCAAACTGCTCACTGCATTAAACCAACCTTTCTTCTCAGTTTATATTGTGCACACTAGTTATTACAAATGTAGGATTAATTTTCTGGAAATGCAATATTTTCAGTAAAATATCACATGGCAATTTGAAAGAAATTATGTAAGAGAAAACAACCTTTTTAAGATGTTCAAGTAAAATTAACAGAATTTTAATGAGTCCTGTAAATCGTTCTAATTTCTAATTAGATTATATGGCTTTGAAATTTGGGGAAATATAGTAATAGCTGTTTGGTTTCAATGTTAGGACACACCCATTCCTCATCAAAGAAGATCCATTGAATGCTGCACAGAACGGAATGAATGTAATAAAGACCTGCACCCCACACTGCCACCACTGAAAAGCAGAGGTAAGGAGAAGAATGCAGTCAGGGCGGGGACACTTCAGGCATAAAGAAAATCAAAAGTTGGTATATTCTCTGTTCTGAATGAACTACCAGTGCTGCTGTTTTCTGCTGGGACACAGGAGTGAGACAAGATGACACAAAGAAACTGTCACTCACAAACATGTAATCCTCAGGGAAGGAATCAGACATGACCTCATTCTTATGCATCCTATAACCTCTTTCCAAATTTCTTCATAGAAGCCCTGGTCCTAGAGCTTGCTGTATGCTTCAGGAACTCTCTTAGCCCTAAGTATTGTCAGGAATAATTCTTTACTCAAAACAGCTATTGGGTACATTCATTTGAAAAATAAGACCTTATAAAATATTAGAGTATTTGTTGTATGGTGTTTCCTTTTACCTAAGCTACAGCAACTTGATTTTATTAAATCTTATGTGCTATATTAGTAAAATGGATAAATTATTTAGAAAATGTAATTGCAGGATTTATACTTTCAAGGCTTGCTTATTAAAAAATAATAATAATAATAAAAGACAAATACAGCATCCCAAAAGACTGTTATACAACTCCTATCTTGCCATTCTCCTCTTAGAAAATTAGAACTTATATAGGTGGTTTAAAATAATTAATGAGTGACTATTTCTTAAGAAGAGAAAATTTCCTCTCCAAAAATACATATTCAGTGTTAACATTTTATAACACTTCTTCCTGCTAAAGTACTTCTTAAGGCTGATTCATAATAATTCATAATAATTTTTTTTCTCACCAGTCAAAATGGTATGTATAAAGGATATAGAAGTAGAAGAGAAATTCTGGCTCTCAATACTTGTGCAGTAGGAAGTGAAAGAGAAACATGTAAACAAATTATACTTGGTCAGGAATATATCAGTAGCAGAGATGGATTATGAAGTGCATTGAGAGTGTGTTTCTGTAGTACAAGAATGTTAGAATAGCTTTGTAGAAGTAATGGCTTAATAGGAATTTGCTAGATGGATAAGGCAAGAACAATAACAAAAAAAATTTAAAGCGTCAATATAAGCCAAGCATTATAATAAATATTATCTTAATTTACCCATAGAAGTCTTACAACAATTTTATGAGGTACTTAGAGCTATTACTATTCTCCACTTAAAGATGAAGACATTTTAGTACAGAAATGTTAATTAACTTTCCAAGGTTGCAAAGCTTGTGAGTAGCAGTGGTTCTCCATCAAGTCAATGATAACATAGAGCTCAGTTTGAATATTTGAGAAGGTTTTGTAAAATTCAGGTTTTTGAAACAGTGTGATTGGTCAGACATGACTAAGTTTTCTAAACCCCTGTAGTTCAGAGAGGCTTCTGGACCAGCAAAGTTAGTACTACTTGAAGCTCATTGGAAATGCAGAATCATGCCCCACCTCCTTGACACTGTAAATTTAAAATAACTTTAGACTGCTAAATCTGTATTGTTAGTAATATGAATTATGTGATCGATACATATAATAAAATTAGGTATAAAAAGACAGGACATATGTGTGAACATAACTAGTGTTACTTGTACCTCACCATTAAGCTCAACAGTACTTCCCTCCAAGATGAATCCTCTGTTTCAAATTGCTGTAAATACCCCATAGGTTTAGTTTCCATTTTTGTAATTATTTCCTATAAGCCAGGTGCAGATAGTAGGCAGTCTATAGATAATTTTTTTTTTCATTAGTGGGGTTCTTTAATATTTGCTTTCTTTTAGTGTGTTATGCATATAGTACTTAGGCTTACAGGCTTTCATACACATCTATTTTAATATTTTTGAAGCTTTGTATAGAGTTGTTATTCCAATTGTAATTATAAAGGAAACAGAGATATATTTTCCCAAGTTATGTAGTTGTGATTACAGTGAATTATGGTGACAGGCTATTGGTGTTTTGCTAATAGTGTTGAGTGTTAACATGTACCTGAAGAGGTGTGAGCCCTCTCCCTGAATTATACACAGTTTTGTAAACCAGTAACACTGCATAAAAATATTAAATGATTAGACAATATTTTGAATAACATCAGTATAACAGCTTATGTGTTGTCAGTAAGGAAGGGAGAAGAGCAAGGACTGGCTAGAAATGAAGGTGGAACTGTTAAAAGAGTTTAGGATCTCCCTATAAGAAAAAACTTTGTACATGTAATGGAAGATGCAACAAAGCAAGAAGGTTTAGGAAAATTCTGCTGCTTTCAAATGCTGAACAGGCTGCAGTGCTGTTATCCTGTGACAGAGTCAGATTCTAGTTAGGACCAGGCCAGTGAAGGAGGGCTATGAGGAGGTTGATAATGTAGGCATGAAGAAAATAGACCGGTATTGTTGAGAAGACGGAGTGAAATGACTTTGAGGAAAGGCAGCAGCATTGAGAGGACAGGTCTTTGGTTCAGAGCACTTTGGGAAGGAGGTGCAGAAGTGGCTGGAGGGTTATGCAAATGACCAGAGAAGTTGGCATGAGTGGATTTCTGTGGCATTAGAGTCACTGCTTTGATATCCCATGTCCCCAGGCAGTGAATAGGCCAGGCCTGCACTTTCCCTTCTACCCTCTTGGCAGTTGTCTTGTAGCCCAATAAAAGTGTCTGCAGATTGGTCTGAGTGAGAACTAGCCATTTTGTACATAGTTATGCCATCATTATGCTTCTTCTTCTTCTTTTTTTTTTAAGATTTATTTATTTATTTATGCATACAGAACTCAATGTGGAACAGAGGTGCAGGGGCGGTGAGAGGATTCACCAGAGAGAGAGCAGGGAGCAGAGCAAGCAGAGTAGCGGGTGGGTCAGGAGAGGTCTGCCACGCCATGTGGATCACCTCCAGGCTGGGGGATCGAACTCACATTGGAGTGGCTGCTGCTCCCTTGCAGTGTTGTGCTTTAACCCTCTGAGCCACTAGGGAGGGCTCCCTTTGTTTTTATCCTGCAACAGGTGTACCATCTATTTAGCACTTCATTGGTTGCTGAGTATCACTTAGGCCTTGGTTAGGAATATTTGAGTTGTAGCCATAGTATATCTGTTTGTGTGCATGTCTCTCTCTCTCACTATATAATGCATGTTTATACTCATACATACATATATTTATATTGGGAGTGTTGGTGTATGTGTTTCGGTATAAAATATTAAGTAAAAATACAAGAATAATGGTAAGAGAGTTTTGGAAACATCTTCTGTTGAAATTTTAATTTAGCTGTTTTTATTTTTTTTTCCATGTACAGGACCAGCCCTAATTTTGTGGTTGTAGAAATGGTTTTATAAATGGAACTCCACAAGACTGAGTATTTAAACCTCATAAGTCAATATAGAAGGCTGGCAATAGATTCATTCTATTTGCTGAACTATATTTTCACGGTGATGGAAATTCTGGCTTGGCATGTAACATGTTTAAGCTACTGACACTTGTTTAGCATGCTGTGTGAGTAATGAGGAAGAACCATTCCCACTTTTGTCCAGCACCCTGAGGGGTGTGTGTAAATGGATTCCCTATTTGCACAACTGAAGGAAAGTCTGATTAAATATAGTCCAAAGATAACACAGGTTAAGTAGTGAAAATAGGAAATGGCTCATGATACCATCACACTGAATCTTCTGTGGAAATAATATTGATAAATAATATTCTTAAAAATGCTTTTACTTATTTAATCATAAAACACACTGAAATAATCAGCACTGAGAAGTGAGCTTAGAGTTTAATAAGAGAGGTTTATTAAAGTGGTTATTTTGTGTCATAGAACTGGGAACTGTTATTAGATTTTTTTTTAAAAGATTTATTTACTTATTCACATAGAAATGGGGTACAGGCCAGAGATGCGGAGGGTGAGAGGATTCACCAGAGACAGAGTGGGGACTAGAACAGGCAGATCTTTTAAGAAGTACACTGCTGAGGGGAGCAGCGGGAGGGTCAGGAGAGGTCTGCCTCGCCATGTGGATCTCCTCCGGGGCAGGCGGGGATTGAACTCATGTGGAAGTGGCTTAAGCTTCTTAGTGCAGTGCTTTAACCCGCTGCGCCACCAGGGAGGGCCCTGTTATTAGATATTTTTGAGTGATTAGTGCCTCCCTCCCAAAGTTGGTCTCATTTTATAGTGTTAAGTTACATGCATAGAATAAACACATAATCTTTCTTCAACTACAACAAAAAATGGATACTGGGCCTGCCTGGTGGCCTTGGGGTTGACTCAACGCTATCACCTCTAAGATCTGAGTTCAATTTCCGGGCCAGGGAGGTGACACACATGGCACAGCAGATCTCTCCTGCCTCACCTGCTGCTCCCCTCAGCAGTGTATTTCAGTAGATCTGTCTGTTCTGGGATTTTTCCTCACTTGTCACCATAAGGTTTCTTTGAAGCAAACTAAATTGATTGTTTTGTTGACTCCTGCCTGTGAGGTAGCCCTGACAAAATTGATTGTTTTGTTGACTCCTGCCTGTGAGGTAGCCCTGACACACATTCAGGCACAGGAGGCATTTCCAGCAGACACAGTATTGTTTTTTCAGTGTTCTGCCATTTCACATAATAGCTTAATTGATAAACAATTAAAATGATTACTTCAAAGTCTTGTCTTTATTTTACTTCCTTGCACAACTAGATTTTCTCAGACACACATTTTTAATTCTTACAATTTTTTGTTAGGTTACTTCTCTCACATCTCTTCCTCTTCCTAATTTAACATTTATTAAGTTCCAATGGTATACTAGTCCCATGGTTTCTAAAGTGGAGGTACATGGTACCCCCACCCAGGCTTTCTTATACATTAGATCTGGGTGTACTGTGATAATTGGCATGTCCAAGGAGTTTCCAGGTGAGGTTGAGGTTGGTGATCCAGACATCACAATTTGAAAACTTCTGTGCTAGGTCCCTTCCTGGTGGTGCAGCAGGTTAAAGCCCAGGGCTGCAGAGCTGGCTGCAGTAGCTTTGTGCAAGTTTGATCCGTGGCCAGAGAGGTGGCCCACATGGCGCGGCAGACCTCTCCTGTCTTGCCCCCTGCTCCCTTCAGCAGTGTACTTCATCCGTCCG